AGCTTTTGGAAACGGAAGAAACAAGCAGCTTGTGAATCTACTGAAGGTGTTATATTTAATAGAAACGCTTTTTTTTTATCGTGCAATCTTCAATAACTTAATCTTAAATAGGTTTTGGAACTGGTGCTTTGCAGAAGAGATTCATCATAATCAAATTTTTAGTGATAGATCCCTAACCTATATTCTTAGACTATGCAATGTCTTTGCTTTATTTTCTACTGTCTTTCTACTTTTTTTTATCAAATTAAACAACAGATCAACATTTGTATGTTTAGAGTTTTTTGGAATCTTTTGGCAATATTCACCCGTAATGGGACGTTTGACATTTTGATTTGTCTTTGCTGATAATGGTAGGAAAACAGTTAGCCGACGAAAGGGCAACTTTTTTCTTTAATCTAGAATAACTAATTCGTTAGGTTTAACAAACTTTTTCACTTTTTTTTCCTTTTTCTTTTTGTATGTGACTCTGTTGTAATCAATGAAAGTATTCAACTGTATGTTACCTATCAAAAATTGTTGCTGATGACAGCACATATCAGTTAGAGGCGACATATTTGGCATATAAGTTACGGGTATATGTTGCCTCGGACTTTGTCACTTTATTGAATCGAGTTAGAAACGTTATGTACGATTGTTTCTTTCTTTAATGTCTGTCTTTAAACTTTTATTATGTACAAACTGTTTAGAGAGAGGTGGAAAATGTGAATAAATATGAATTTTTAATTTTAGTTCTTGTAGTATACTTCTTTGAAAACACTACCAGAAACCTTGTCGCTGCATATATGAGGTGATCAGCTGGCTTTGTAGAAATGTAAAGTGTAGGCCTCGATTTAATGAAAAGTGCGAATTTTTCTTATTTAGTTAAAAACTTGAAACCTTACCAATGACAATATGATGGGTATTTGCTAGTCTAGGAAGCAAAAATTAATTCAATGTACTTAATCTGCTATTCCCTCAATGCCGATAGTTTCCACTTATTTTGTAACAAATACAGCAATAAATTTATTTCTCGGTCTCTTACATCAGCAGTTTAAACTAGCCAAGAAACCGAACAAAGAGGATAAATTAGGACTCTGTTTAGTCAGTTGAACAAATTTGTGCCTTTTCATTAACACATTTTTATTAACATCACCAATACAAATTTTTTATCATTTTTGAACAATATAGAAGTAAAAAAACGCAGACAATTGATAATTTCATATCAAAAGTTTTTTTTTCAATAAGTGCTTGTTATCAAGAGTTTTCAACAACTGTCATTCTTATGAGATGAAAACACAGAGTTGCCTTTAGACCTGGTAATGAAAAATTTTTTGCTTTGGTATTTATTGAGGTGTTCAGATCCTTAGAATTCAAAAATTTAGACATCACTTATATTTTATTTAAAAACTACTTTGAGACGAAGAACTTTAGTGTTGGTGCAAAAAGATAACATTACTTGTGTTCGGTTGTAATAAGATTTGTTGAAGTCAACGAGTAGCTCGGAAAGTAATTGGAAAATTGCTCTTTATTTTCCATTCCAACGGATTTTCAACAAAATCCACTAGAAAACTTCTCTGGTTGTTCTTTTATGAATTCGAACTGATTTTACGCTTATTGCTCATTGTTTTACTGCAGCAACTACAGTTACCCCAGAAGAGCATACATTTTTTTAAAGACAGCTAACCATTAGTTCTGTAAAAAATGAGAATACGCAGTACACTTTATTGCACCCAAACAATTTTGAAGCATACAAATCAACCAAATTTCAAACAAGTTTTTTTCTTTTCACTGAGAAGCAGCATTTAAAATGATGCCACACTGATAAGCAGATCAGTATAAATTCGCAAAGACTTTTTTTGTAAATATTTAATTGGCAGTTGCACAACATCGAAAGCAAAAGCAGTTGATAAACAAGAATTGCTTATAACACAGACTGGCATCCAGCTGTGGTTTATCCTACTTTCTAATTTCGTTTGGAAAATTCCAGTTTAATGCACAAAAAATAGTAAGGTAATAGAAGTCTCAGCCACTGTTAGTTTTTTGTCTGCAAAAATTTCAATAAAATCAAGAATGTGTCTAAATAATAGATTTAGAAAGAAGTATACAGAATTATAAGGTCATAACTAAATCTAACTCTCGCCAAAATCTATTTTACCACGTTTTGTAGAATTTATTAAAACTTAATCATTGTTGTCGTTATTCTTGATATTGTTACAGATCGGAAAATCAGTTAGTGTAAAATCAGTCAATAATAATAGTTCTTCTTTTGTTATTAACAATGGTCTAACATAAATGAGCCGACAAATATTTTGTGAAAATTATTCTTGTAAATTTCTAATCTATGTACCTAAAAGTATCTTATCTAGTTATTAAATTAAATTGTACATTTTGGCAGCAGCTTACAGTTTGCTAATCGATCACATTTTCTTGCGCCATTACCTATTCACGCAATTTATTGTTTTTAAAAGAACATTCTATTTTTTTAACTAATAGTAATAGTAGAATTTATTGAAGTGCTGAAAAAATTTTTTTTATAAAAACAATGTAGTTTACTTTTTGTCTTATCTGGCAGCTGTGCTACCTTCTGCTCAATTATAGAGTTTTTAATATGTGTTTTGTTCTTTTTTTTTTTGGTACATGTACTGATTCTAAGGAAAAGACTAGGTGACTTTAGAGCAGTTATATTTTCTTCTTTCTGACAAACATCTGCTGAATATGTTCAAAGTAAGTTTTTAAATTAATTGTACAGTTTTTGTTAGCAAAACATGTTTATTTCTTTTTTACTTCATTTTTAAATGTAATTCCCACCCTCTAAACGTTAGAAAATCCTTTTTTTAAAATATTTCAGATTTTTGACACTTGTCACACTTAAACGATATTGAATTCACTTACTTTTCATAACATAGGGCAAGACAAAATATTGCCGACGTCACTACATTTTTACGGCAGACGAGGAAATAAAAGTTTTCAAAATCCTTTCTCTACTTAACTGACTTCATGCTGGGTCGACAATAGTCAGCAAAAGTTGCAGGTAGCTGTGCAAGCCTTCCTCATCAGAGCTTGGTACGACGTATCATACAATAGACTGCTTAGGTTCCGCAGTTTCTGGCCGAATCTACACATGGTGCCTGAAAGCCAAACTCAGTTACTGCCTGCAAT